TTTCAAACTAGTGTCTCATGGAGTCATGAGCTGCTCCCAATAAATGCCTAAGAACTGCTAAAGCTTTTGACATGAGGATAAGTTTCAATTAAAGTTGCATATGAAGGTAAGTTACATGATAAAATGTATAGCATGCCCATGACTAATTGATGAGGGAACCTTGTTTTTTTGAATTAGACACTTTAAAGATAAATTAAAACAATACAAAGAATTTGCGTTACTGAATGTAGAAGAAACGTCTTTTATTTGCATTGGAAAAGCTTTGATGTCAGAATATGCTGCTTCTCATTCTGCTTTCAGTTTTTTTCATGCTATTTTGAACAGAACTGATTGTAAATTCTTAACTAGTTTTTATTTGGTTTTTTGGTTCGTTTGTTTTTTTACAAATGCCATGTTCAAACAAAAGGACATTTTTGTGGTCAGCCAAGAACTGAGCAGCTAATAACAGTAGTCAAAGTTCAAACCTTTAATTTTACTTTTTCACAATTAATCACAGAATCACAGAATGTTAGGGGTTGGAAGGGACCTCTGGAGATCATCTAGTCCAACCTCCTGCTCAAGCAGGTTCACCTAGAGCAGGTTTCACAGGACTGCATCCAGGCAGGTTTTGAATATGTCCAGGGAAGGAGACTCTACAACAGCCTGTTCCAGTGCTCTGACACCCTTAGTGTAAAGAAGTTTTTCCTCATGTTGATGTGGAACTTCCTGTGCTCCAGTTTGTGCCTGTTGCCCCTTGTCCTGTTGCTGGGCACCACTGAAAAGAGCCTGGCTCCATCCTCTTGACACCCACCCTTTAGATATTTATAACTGTTGATCAGGTCTCCTCTCAGCCTTCTCTTCTCCAGGCTAAAAAGCCCAAGGTCTCAGCCTTTCCTTGTCGGGGAGATGCTCCAGCCCCCTCATCATCTTCGTAGCCCTCTGCTGGACTCTCTCGAGTAGTTCCCTGTCCCTCTTGAACTGGGAGGCCCACAGCTGAACACAGTACTCCAGATGTGGCCTCACCAGGGCAGAGTAGAGTGGGAGGATAACTTCCCTCGACCAGCTGGCCACATTCTTCTTAATGCACCCCAGGATAACATTGGCCTTCTTGGCCACAAGGGCACAGCGCTGGTTCATGGTCAACTTCTTGTCTAACACAACTCTCAGATCCTTCTCCACAGAGCTGCTCTCCAGCAGGTCGACCCCCAGCCTGTACTGGTGCATGGGGTTATTCCTCCCCAGGTGCAGGACCCTACACTTGCTTTTATCGAACCTCATCAGGTTCCTCTCCAGCCTGTGCAGGTCTGACTGAGTGGCAGGACAACCTTCTGGCATGCCAGTTTAGTATCGCCAGCAAACTTGCTGAGGGTGCACTCTGTCCCTTCATCCAGGTCGCTGATGAATGTGTTGAATAGGACCGGACCCAGTACTGACCCCTGGGGAACACCGCTAGTTACAGGCCTTTATCTGGACTCAGCGCCACTGATCACAAGTCTGAGCTCTGTCCTTCAGCCAGTTCTCAATCCACCTCACTGTGCACTCGTCTATCCCACACTTCCTAAGCTTACCTATGAGGTTGTGCTGGGAGACAGTGTCAAAAGCTTTGCTTTTGTCAAGGTAGACAACATCCACTGCTTTCCGCTTCTCCATCCAGCCCGTCATACCGTCATAGAAGGCTATCAGGTTGGTCAGGCATGATTTCCCCTTGATTAATCCATGTTGACTACTCCTGATAATCTGCTTTTCCTCCACCTGTTTAGAGATAACAGCCAGAATGAGCTGTTCCATCACCTTTCTAGGGATGGAGGTGAGGCTGACTGGTCTGTAGTTACCCAGATCCTCCTTCTTGCCCTTTTTGAAGACTGGAGTAACATTGGCTTTCCTCCAGTCCTCAGGCATCTCTCCTGTCCTCCACGACCTGTCAAACATGATGGAGAGCAGCTTAGCAATGACAACTGCCAGATCCTTCAGCACTTGCAGGTGCATCCCATCGGGGCCCATGGATTTGTGAGTGTCCAGTCTGGCTAAGAGATCTCTAACCCAATCCTTCTTGACCAAGGGACAGTCTTCCGTCCTCCAGACTTCAATATCAAGATCAGATAAAGTCTGAATTGCTAGAATCTCTGTGCTGTAGAACATGATCTGTCATTTAAGCGTCACGTTTCAGCAGGGACAAGCTAACCTATAGTTGAGTGCTGGACTTCAGATCCATACAGCATGAAATAAGTGCTCAGCCATAGAACTACAGCTGTAGTCTGCCTTTTTCACCATGGCTTTCTGCACCTGATCAATGACGAAGTGGTTAGAGCATGTTATTACATCTGTGAGGTTGTAATTCCTCAACGATCCCAAGAGGAAGATTCACAATGGGGAGAAGTGCAGGATGTGCAACTTTTTACTGAGGCATAAGTAGCTAAAATATATAGAGTCTTTCAGTGACTGTAGGGTGGCAATGTGTCTAAGCGGGCAGCATGTTTAAGCAGGTCTTTATTCCAGTTCTTCGCACAGTTAATTTTTGTGAAGGTGATCTGTGTGTCTCTTCACTGTTCTAAATCAGGGTTTTCATTAGCAGCTTATGGGGATGTAACACCTGCCATCACAGTCTGGCATGTCCTATTCCGTGGTGCTATATATGTATCTTGCATGATGGTCCTTCTGTGTGGCCCATGCACACCTTGCAAAGCCATATGCATCACCACCTTACAGAGGAGGATGTCTGCTTGCTTTCTGTCCCAGTATGGGTGCTTCAGAGGTGCTACCTATTTATGGCACATGGCCTCTCACATCTTGAAAGGAATATCACACTGCTATTCATGCCATGGCTGGAGGACTGTGTGCTCCCATCCACGGGAGGAGATTAATTGCCTTGACCACACCAGCCGCACTATTCCACAGCTCAACTCTCCTTGATATATCGAGGGCTCAGAGCTACGGTCCTCAGTTGCTACTATGCCAGAGACTAAGGTATTCTTCTGTGTGACACCAAGTTAGTCTCATCCTCTGCCCAGCTATTCCAATCCTGCCCTTTCCCAGCCCTAGGATTATCTGCTTGCTGCAAGACACGTTCTGGCTGCCAAGGGGTACTGGCAGGCAGACTAGGAGTGGCATGTTCCTCCAGACACTGATTGGAGGGCTTCAGGACCTAGCCCAAGTGCGGGCATGCTGCAGCAACCCTGTATATCTGCCTGCCCTGCCATGACTGGAGGATCGCAGGTGCTGCTGGCATGCCCTCAGCACTCCAGTGATGGACACCACCAACAGCAATGGTGGTTTTTTGTTTTGTTTTTCTTTCACCAAAAATGCATTAGATTTGCTCCAGCACCAGTGCAGGAACGACTCAGCTGCATGGCCAGGAATAACTCCATCTATGTGGTTGCAAACATTGGGGACAAGAAGCTGTGCAACTCCAGCGATCCCAGCTGCCCCAGTGATGGTCGCTATCAGTACAACACCGATGTCGTCTTTGATGCAGAGGGGAAACTGGTAGCACGTTACCACAAGGTAAAGTGGCCTTGGAAAGTCAGGACCTATTTTTCCACTAATTCCAAAATGTCTCCATTTGGCAAAAGAATTAAATGCCAGTCATTGTCCCATGGCAGATTTTTGCTTATGTTTATAATTTAAAACTTATCTCTCTCTTGCTGTGAAGTGTTGACTCCAAATTTGCATTTTCTGTCATGTTTCTCAAAACAGACTGGAATGAAAAATGATTGCTCAGGTCCAATTTAGTGGCATATGGTTTTGGTTGACTTCCTCAGTTTGTTAACTCCCTATTACTGGAAATCCTGCTGCTTAAGCAGCTTTAGCTTTCAGCGCCAGGTTTTCACCAGACTACCACTTTATGTTCCAGGATTCTAAAAATTTCATCTGCACCTTGTCTTAGATGAGTAGTCTGATTTAAGGAAGACAGGCCCTTTCCTGTAATTTTTTTTTTCTGATGATGTTTCAGCACAGTTTTTGCATAATGGGAATTATCTGGACAAAACCATGGACCTAAGCTGAGTGTACAAAGAGATAAGGGCATTGAAACATTTGTATCCAGTGAAAGTATCTTCTTTCAGTTTTACGTGCCTACCTGCAATCAAAGTTGTTAGAGAGTCATGTACCAGATATCACAATGGTGTGGCTAGACTGAAATCAGTTGTTTCTTTAATGCACCTTGGGCCCAGTATTTCACGTGGTTCTTTGGAGACAATGCCAAGATATTTCCTTGTGAGCAAACTGGGTGAGGGGGACACTGATAATGACAGTCTTGTCCCCAATATGCCAGCCTGGCACAGCCCAGGTGCTGAGTTGAAAGTTCAGTAACTTGAACCTCTTTTCTGGCTTGGTGCACATGTTTATTGTCCAGGCCATCTGGAGATTAAAGGACTCTTTTAGTTAATGTGAATGTGAAAGAAGGAAAATATTGGAAAGCCAAGAATGTTGCAAACTTGGATTTTTCTGTTGGCTTAGATCATCTTCCTTTCCCCCCCCACCACAGCCTTTGTTTTCTTCTCTGCTCTAGTCTCTCCCAGTACTGTCTTGTGCTTCCTGCTGGTGCTGTGTGCTTCCAGTCCTTCTGCACATCGCCACACTTAAGGTCACAAGTCCTGTCTCTTGGTACTAGATCCTCCATGCTCCTCTTCCATTATTTTTTCTCTTATGTGTGTCTTTCAGGTCACCAGAATTATAAACTAGGTGGGGAGAGTGCAGAGATTATTTTTATGAGAGTCGCAGGTGGCTGACACCAACAGACCTGCAGATAGCCAGCTGCTTTCCTAGCTAGATGACAAGGCAATGTGTGTCTCCCCATATCCACATTTTTGGGCTCTGTGGTGATCATATGATTTTAGCTTGATTTCCAGCTTTTGAAGGCTTCAAACGCAGGTCAAAAAAACTTCCGTAGTTATTCTGAACAGTTTTAGGGAATGACTCCAGGATATTGCATTAAGTGTCTTTAACCGGTTTCTCTTTTTCCCTTCCCCTACAGTATAATCTCTTTATGTCAGAAACTCAGTTTAATTACCCAAAAGAGCCAGAAGCCGTCACCTTTGAGACCCCCTTTGGGAAGTTTGGCATTTTCACTTGCTTTGACATCCTTTTCCGTGAGCCTGCCGTGGTCTTGGTGAGCGAGTTGCAGGTGGACACCGTGCTCTTCCCAACAGCTTGGATGAACGTCCTGCCACTTCTGACTGCGATTGAGTTTCACTCTGCCTGGGCTATGGGCATGGGTGTCAACTTCCTGGCTGCCAATACGCACTACACCAGCATATCTATGACGGGTAATTTTCACTCTGTCTGAAAAATCTTTATAACCAGGAATCTTTATCCCCTGTTCTGCAAGGTGATTTTGTGGAGGAATATAATATATTTATCTGGAAGGTGAAGAGTCTGTTCACCAAATTTTAAACAAAACAGGACAAATCCTGTCCCTGCTGGTGCCATACAAGGCACAGCAAAACTTGTATTTTTCTTTTCTTCTCCCTAGCTTCTTAGGATTTTCCTTTCTTTCTTTTAAAGTCTCTAAACAAGTAGTAAGTTACTGCCTCTTCTACCTGAGTAGAAACTTATGAAACTTAGGCTCTTTTCCTCTCCACCTCTAAGTCTGTGATTGAATGCCAAACTGTAAATATACTTGTAAACCACATACATGGCTCAATTTATTCTGGCCAAATGAAAGACTTATTTGTAGCTGTATTTAACACAGTTGTGGAGAAATGTTAAGAACAAATTTTCAGACCTGTTGCAGTAACACTGCTAAGAAGTCTGCATTTTCTTTTAAGAGTATAGCACTGATTCGCTAGAGCTTAGCTTATGGGATAGTATATTTCAGCTAGACCATTATCTCCACTGAGTTGTGAAACCACAGTATTGGCTTGGGGCTTCTCATTTGAAATTCCTGACAGGCTACTGCTTATTGTCCATTCTATGTGGCTCTTCAGCAGTGATGGGTATGACAGATCTTCCTTGGTTTCCTTCTGTTGCTTGGCACAGGTCAGACATGAATTCCCCATGTGGGGAGGAGTCCTCAGCCAGTGTAAATGGGGCTGGACAGCTGCTGTCTCCTTCTATGTTCACCAGGATGGGCCTGTGATACTTGCCTGTGTTGTGTTTTGGACAGTCTGAATTGGTAGATGGTCCTTTTACATCAAGTAGCCAAGAATAAAGGAATTCTCAAGAAACTGTTGCATACAGGAGAAAACGGAACTGGGGAGGTCCTAAACACAACCATAACATAACATCCTCTGCCTTTGGCTACAGTAAGCAGACCTCACCTGGGGAAATAAATGCCAAAGCATGAGCTCTATGTACTGAGTTGCTAATAGTCACCCTTGGTGAGACTAAAATTTCTGTAATATTTATAAAATAGTGGATAAGCTAGCAGTAGAGACAGTTAAAAGGACAATACAATTTTTTTGTATTTTTGGACTGACTAGTGTGCTTTCCTCAGGGAGCGGTATTTATGCACCAGATGGAGCCAGAACATACTATTACAATATGAAAACTGAGGATGGGCGTCTCCTCATTGCTGAGCTAGATTCACACCCTCGACTTTCTCCTGCCTCCCCGCCTGCTGTCAACTGGAGCTCATACGCTTTGAGTGTCGAAAGATTCTCCCCGAATGACCATGATTTCAGAGGGCTCGTCTTCCACGACTGGTTCACTTTCACTGAGCTCACTAAGCCTGAGGGGAATCTCGCTGTTTGCCAGGAAGACCTCTGCTGTCACTTGAGCTACAAGATGGCAGGGAAACGAGAAGATGAAGTTTATGTCCTGGGTGTCTTTGATGGCCTTCATATTGTTGAAGGACAATACTATCTGCAGGTAATGGGGGGGGGGGGGTGTACTTATTTTAGGAAGCTTCTTTACCGAGAGAAACTGGGAAGGAGATGATGACTTTCTTGTATGCTGGAGTCTTGGTGTCCTATCTGTTAGCAACAGGAAATAGTTGCTAGAACAGCCAAGCCTGCTTACCTTTAAATCCAACAAATGGAGTGGAGAGGTCTTTAAACCTCTTTTAAGATCCCAGAGTGAGCTCACTATTTTTTTTAGGTGTGTGATATTGGCTAAATTAATTAATTAATATAAATATAATTAATTAGGTTCTCTTTTGTGACTATCTATAGTAAGTGTTCTCAATCTCCTCTGTAGTCTTCATCGAAGAGTTGCAGTTCAGAAGTATCCATCTTTATGCAATGCTTTGATGATTTAGAATCACAGAGATGTTAATTTTTTGCCGTTACTGAAATCATAGCAATGAAGGTTTCTGAAATGGCATATGACTTTTATTGGAAATGTCCACACTTCCTGTCTTTTAATCAAATGTTTGAGAAGACAGTGCATTACATCCTGGTTGGATTTGCTTAAAGCTATGTTAGAAAAATTTCTTTCCCTTCATAATGAAGTTGTTGTGCCAGTAGACTATCCTTTTTTTTAGTTACTTCCGTTTACCAACATGGCCTTTGCACATCAGCTGGTACAGACCCCAGGATATGGGGGGAGGTCTTAGCCAGCACACAGCTAGCTAATACATTTAAGAAGGTAGCTTGAATAAATTCAGTTCTTGGTGAGCTCGCTTGGAAAATTCATTTCCGTGATTGTAGAAGCTGCCAGATGGTCTCTACCAGTACTGAATTTTCGAGAGAAGACAGGAATTTCTACTCTTCCTTTTTCCCTAAGCATTTTTTTTGTTTTCTCAGAACATACTGAGAGAATTCTATTCTTTATTTCTCTGCTTATTTGCATTTCAACACAAAACCTTATTTCCTGATGAATAATACTTCTGATGTTTGCAAATATGCTTCTTCTAACCCCCAATATCTGACACAAATACAAAAACTCCCTCACCTGTCAGCAAAACAAGCCAATATCCTTTGAATCTTCACAGGAGTGCTAGCCCTATTTCATATTTCTTCATGATGTCCATAAACTTTTATCAGCTGGGTAATTAACTCTAAGGACAGAAGGAAAATATTGCCATTCATGCTTTCCTCTGTGTGCTGCAACTACTAACACAAAACTGTAACAGAGGATGCTAACTTCATCACCTTGAGTTTTTTAGCAGGAGTTGGGTGGAGAACACTAAATTCAGATTTTCCGTGGACTACCAGGCCATCTAATGAATTGTCATTAGCAATATGTACAAATATCAGTAAAAGAACCTGTGTGTACAGTTGCACAATGTACCTATAAGGAGGACGTTGTTTCTTTTGCTTAAAATTTCCATTCACAAACACATCTTACTAAGATGTGGGAAATGAACCTTAAAACAGAAGAACTGGCAATTGGAAGAATTAGCGGAAGTGACAGCATTTGGCTTCAGGGAAGGAATAAAGGTGCTCTGACAGCACTTACGCCAGAAACAGATTATTTCTAACTACTTCTAACTACGTGTACAAATATCAGTAAGAGAACCTGTGTGTACAGTTGCACAACGTACCTGTGAGGAGGACATTGTTTCATTTGCCTAAAATTTCCATTCACAAACACATCTTACTAAGACATGGGAAATGAACCTTCAAACAAAAGAACTGGCAATTGGAAGAATTAGTGGAAGTGACAGCATTGGGCTTCAGGGACGAAATAAGGTGCTCTGGCGGCACTTACGTCAGAAACAGATTATTTCTAACTAAGGCGACGCAAGTCTGAAATACCCCCAGTCAGATCAAGGGGTGAAAAAATAAGCTACAACTGAAAAGGAGTTGCTTAAAGATTATGAAATAGATCCTGTGATGGTCACCTGCTCTGACACACACTAGCTTTGATGACACAAGGCTTTCCTACCAGAGTGGTTCCATCTTGCTAGGTATGTTGTTGTTGTCTCCTCCCTGCAGATATGCACGCTGCTTAAGTGCAAGAGCACAGACCTGAACACGTGTGGGCAGCCGGTGGAGACGGCTCAGACCAAGTTTGAGACGTTCTCCCTCAGTGGCACGTTTGGCACCAACTACGTCTTTCCAGAAGTCTTGTACAGCGGGGTGCGGCTGGCCCCCGGGGAGTTTGAGGTAATGCAACATCCTGGAGCTGTGTCATGCTAGGTTCTCTGCAGGATAGTAATAGAATAAACTGTCTCAAAACAGCCAAAGTGAACTTGCTCATAGTGAATAATCAGATCTGTTAAATATCTTTTAATGAAGTCACTAGTGTCAGTAAGAGATACGGTCTGACGTACCTTCTTCCTGTTTTGTTACATCATTCTGAGCTCTCAGCATGCTCATATGAGTACTCCTCTAATCATGTCCTTCTCTTACCTTTTTCAATCAGGTATTGAATGATGGACGCTTGATAAGTAAGACAAGACCAACAAAACCACTCATCACTGTGACGCTTTTTGGACGGTGGTATGAAAAGGATCATCTGAAACAAGACCCACAACCACCAGCCTTCCCATGATATTACCATAACTGAAGCTGTACACTATTAATCTTATGTCCAAATGAGATACAGCATCCTCTACTACAACAATCCAAATTATGTTTCTTATTTCTAGTTGCACAAACTGCTTATCAGTGTGCTTTGTTTAGTAATAATGCAGCAATATTATTTTATTGCTACCATTTATTGAGAAGTACCTACTCCTGTATGATAACATTACTAATCTTTTATTAGTGTGAAACAGAGCTGTATTTCCCTCTCTGTTTTCTGGATTTTTATTTTTCTAGCCCTCAGAAAACCTGATTTGTCGGCCAGAGGATACATTCTTATTAAAATAGCATTGCATATTTTATAATTGTAGATTATTATAAGACCAGTAAAGAGAACAGTGAACGATGTGGTTTGTGGCAGCTCTGTACAACAAAGCTCAATAAGGATTTGTGTCTGATATACAGCTACTTATGCTGACCTATGCAAGCCTGATCTTTTACCACACTTATAATTTTTTTTTTTCCTATTTGTGTTGCTTTGGTTTTATTGCCTTTATGCCATTGATGCATGTTGTGTGGCACATGCAGCACAGAACAGTGCATCATGGAGGCTAAGCAAGGACTCCAATCAAAAAGCCAACTCTGAAACAAAACCTGCCACTGCTTCTTGGTCAGAAGTCAACATGAATCTTTGAAATCTCTGTTGAACCAAAACTTGAAACTGAAAGCTGAAACTATTCTGCTTGCCAGTTCTGAACAACAGTTTGCCAACACCTGCTGGCTGCACTGGATGGTGTTCAGGGCTGGAACTGTTTGCACCCAGTGAAGAGCTCACCGAATGACCTGGTATCATATAGCAGTTCCTTCCTCACATCTTCTCTATTTCTTTATGGACATGTAACTTCAACGTGTGTGAAATAAGCCTTGTCCTTTGCTCCTTCATAATAATGCTGGGTGGTGCTGTTGTCCTGAAAAATGGGATCTTTCACCTGGTATGTAAAGCCAATACACACACAGGGTCAAGGTATTCCTTTATTTACAGGTTTGCACAAAGCTGGAAGCTAGGTGGTATTCCACAAAGCTAGTTTAGCTTGGTAGAGATCACAGCATATTTATTTTGTTAAATCATTAGTAAAAACACACCTAAATCTACCTTCGTTGGCTAGTAATTACCATTCCTTCTGCTATTGGTTATACTTATTAGTTATAAGTATATTTAACTTATTATAACTTATTAGTTATAAGTTAACCTCACTTTCTAGGTAAATTAGCATGCATGGTCCTTACAGGTGTGTGGGAGGACCAGTCTCTTTTTGGTCTTGAATTGAGTCGGTGGTCTCAATCTCCCCCTGCCGCATTTACTTTTCCTCCAGTTACTGCAGATTTTGCTGACTTCATGCTTCTTTGGTGGTCACCCATCTTTTGGCGCCTTCTGGGGCAGGATGTTCCCTCTTATCAGTCTTTTAGTTCCTCCTCAAGGATATAGTCGTTAGTGAGGCATGCATTGTTTATGCAAAGTAACCAGACTTATAGAATAAGACTATTTATCAGTGCTGCCATGCAGATGAATTTGCTGTAGCGATTAGGGGGGTTAGATTTCTACTTGAGACCAGCTACTTCTGGTGAGAAGGCACTATTTACACCTTTGCTTCTCTATCATTGCCGGCAACCTTTGCTTTGTTGTTTTTTTGTGACCTTCCTTCAGTGTATCAGTGGATAAAGATGTCCATGTTCTGTGGCTGTGTCTTTTAGAGTGGTCAGAGACCCCTATTTGTCTACTTTCTCCTTCCTTTTCCCTGCACTGGCACCATGCGTGGTATCAGCATGGTGCTCTCAAGGTCCTCAGCCTTGTATACTTCTGTTTTAGAGGTGGTGAGACATGGGAGTGCAAATATTATCCAAACTCCAGCACTGATTATCACTGCTGTGCACCCTATGACCTTTTCTGTTTCTACATGTCATAACATAGTGTCATGTCTAACATAATGACACGTTTATCAAAAGCCCCAAACAGTGTGCTCTGACTCATGGAAGCTCAACATCACTGCTCCTAGAGACACGCTCCCTTAAAACCTTGTTCACTGTTGGAGTCAGTTACTGTCTGACCATGACTGATCTCAGTCTAGCAAGGGATTATCCAGTGTGATCCTCTTCCCATGGGTTCAAACTCAGTGCAGATGCTGTGCTTGTCCCCCAGGAACCTGGTGGGTGATACTGCAACTCTCTCCCAGGAAAAGGATCTGGATTTAAGGGAGGCTATGGGCACGCAAGAGGATCTCTTCTTGCACAGCAGAAGGGATTCATTTGAACAGCAGAAGGGATTAAGCAGGAGCATGTGGCCAGTCTCAGAGCTGAGAGGCGGCTCCTTCAGCTTTGTTCACTGCTGATACCAGTCATCCGGCTAAGGGAATGTGTGTGAAAGTAGTATATGGTCCCAACCCTGAATCTGGTGAGTATCTTGAATTCAGGATTTGGTTGAAGGCCACTGTGGTTTGGTTTAGGTGTTGTCCTGGTTTGAGCTAGAACAGAACCAATTCTCCATTCAGTGATTCTACTTTTCTTCTAAGTCTTTTCTAAGTGACTGCACTTTCTGAAGTTAATGGTATGTGTTTTTCAGACAATGTCTGCTTCTAGAAGTGATAGTGCATGATGTTTATAATTACTACTAAGGAATGGTGAGCAGAAAGGCTCTTGCTTATATGTGCTCATTTAGAA